TGTGTGTGCGCGCGCGCGCACGCGCAGGCTCGCATGTTGTTATGGTGGTGGGGCGTGTGTGGTCGGGGGGGCGGCCCTCCAGCTCAGCTCTGGGGTTGCTTAGGACTGCGGCAGTGGCGACGCCCCATGGGCATCTGCAGATTGCGCACACCGATCCACCCACACACACCCACTTGACGTTTACGGGCTCCTCCCTCCGCTGCACTGCCCCCTTCCAGACAACCTCCATTACGTGGCGGGCAACATCATGATCCAGGAGGACACCGGGCGTCACGAGAACAACGTGCTGTAAGCACTCTGCCGGGAGCGAGAGCCTGCCAGTACTGTGTTGGGGGATCAGCACTGCCAACAGAGAGTGGGGTGTTGGGCTCGCACCTAGGCGTCCCGGAGGCAGTGGTGCATGACTCTTGTTTGCACGTGCAATCGCGCCCTCCATCCCGCCACCTCGTCACCCATGAGGGCACGCACGCCTGATTCATCGCAACCTGAGCGGTCACAGTCGTTGCATGATGCAAGAGCGTTGGTGTGACCACCGGGGCTGCCAGCTGTCCAATCCCACTGACATCTTGTTGTCCCCATTGCAAACCCGGCCCGGCACAACTCTTGTGACACCCCAGCTGGGCGTACAACGTCGACAGCGGCACCCTGACGCGCGTGCTGTCATCCCCCCGCATCGCCGAAGTGACTGGCATGTGGTGAGAATGAAGGGGCTCCTCTGTCGTGAGGGCGCGCACTCAAATCACCCTATTGCAAGGTAGAGGCAGCCGCTGGCCCCTCCACCTCGCGAGGAGGGCCGTGCAGCACCCTTGACGCCTTTGACTCCTTGCTACCACCTCGGACGCCGGGGCCTTGCTGCTGGGACCACCGACCGACAGCTGCGGCCCTGCTGCACTCGGATGTGCGTGCCGCCTGCACCGGCCCCCATTCTGCGACCCCTGCGGTTCCTTGACACCCGGAATTCCTGTATTGTATGTAATAAATCCACGCTGCCCCCCTCTTGATCAGGGCCAACGTCATCAAGAGCTGGGGTTACCTCAGCCTGGCCATCCAGCACCCCGAGGAGGACCTGCCCAGCACCTCCGCCGCCAACGTCGAGGCGCAGCGCGGCTACATGGTGCGCCCCTCGCCACACGCGCTCGCGTTTCTTGGGCCGCTGCCCGGATCAACTGCCATCGCCGCGGGCCTCGTGCATGGAAGAGCCTTGTCTAGGGAGTTTTGGTGATGCTCAGCACTACTCGCTTGCAGGCTGTACCAGCCAGGGTCCTCCCCACCAAAGCTTCCGAGCGGGGGGGTCCTTTTGATGCATGCCCCCCAAATCAACACAACAACCCCGTAACAAGACCGTGACGCTTTTTCCCCTCGACCCACCGACCTCCAGGGCTACCTGGGCCCCATCCCCAACAAATACTTGAATGACAAGTATACCCTGACGTTCACCGGCATCCCCGCGGCCGTGACGCCCGCGGAGAAGAGCGCGGTGATTGCCACCACTAAGGTGTGCATCGACAAGGCCGCCAAGCCAGCCAAGCCTGGCCAGGGCAACAGTCACTGATGTTTGACCGGTCAAATAACCCCAGGCGCGCCCTTGCCGTGTTGGAGGCTGCCTGCGCAATATGTGCGATTATGTGCATACTTTGTTGGTATATGTGATCGACTTTGCTGCAAGAGTTTCGGTACGCCGGTACATGCACAAAGCCACAGCGAGGTGAGCGGGCGCGCGCCCCGCACTCAATTGATGGCATCAAGGCTTGTTGCGATGGGAGGGCCAGCACGCTTGACTTTCTGGCCGGGGATGTGCGGGGGTTGTTGCTTCTTGCGCTCTATCAAGTAGGGCTCAGCCCGCTGCGAGGGATGACATGCGTGCACCAGAAACCCAATTAACGAGGGGTTCGCGTTTGCACAGCGTGAAATGATGCAAAGGGTTTGCCTGCCGCACTGAACTTGGCGCCTTTGCCATTGGCGCTTGCCGCCTGGCTGATGCTTTGCCGCACCTGCATTATTGATGAGGGGGCCGTACTTCCAAACTAGTTTGCGTGACCTTCACCGAAAGGAGCGCCCTGGCCCCACCATGGGGCTAAGCGGCTCCCATCCCACCCCGAAATGGGTTTGGTGGCTCAGGAGTGGGTTTCAGGCAACCATTCGTTCTTATGCCGGTTGAAAGTCTGGAACGCACTGTGGCGGGAATGTGCAGGCGCGGCTGCGCGGCGGCGTTCAAAGCTCGCGCGGCTAGCGTGCGTAGGCACGTCGGGGGTGGGGCGGGGGACTGGATGTGGGACGTGATTGTGTGAGCTGCGACGCGGACGTTGCAGGCAGGCCCCGGCGGGGGCTCGCACCGCTGCAGCACCGATATCGAGTAACCCTGCATTCCTTGGATGAGGCGGTCACGACGCAGCGGCGGGTGGTTCATGCGCCCAAGCAGCCTGCTCGCAGGGCGCTTCAGCCAACGAATGCGGGTACCAAAAACGAAGCTGGAGTGCATCACAAAACGCCCGTTGACCAGCCCGCTGCACCATAGAAGCCGGTCCTGCCCCTGTGCTCCTGCGTGTCAAAGCAGTTGTCTTGCGGTTACCAACGGTTGCCAAATGACGCGCCACGCCTGCTGACCAGGCGTGCCGCACTGCTATGCAGCCAACACACTGCGTACAAGCGACGCTCCGCAACAGCAAATGTGCGACAAACAGGCCTGCAGCTAGCGCGGGTCACTCCACCGCGCTCACCAGCCGAGCAAAAGTTTCGACACCTTTCAGCGGCTGGGAAACGAGAAAGCCCTGGACCAAGAAGGGGCAGTGGAAGCAACCATCAAGGCTCACGACGACGCAATCGCGCGGCAACTGGCGGGGGCTCGCAAGCGTGGCCTGGAGGGTTGCCGCCCACCTGCAGACCAAAAGCTTGCGCGCGCACGTGGCGGCGGGCATACTCCAACACGAACCCCAAAGAAGAGATCACGGCAAAAAATCGCCCCAGGCGCGCGTCGATCGCGGCGCCTTTCGTACATAAGGCTGCGGGCATTTCGCAAGCCGCCTGCTGGCGCCATGGCGCCCCAGGTCGGCCCAACGCCTCTACATTTCTTGCACGGTTGCGCGGCGGCGCCTTGCCCCTGAAAACACCTCGCACCCTCCAGCAGGAGGGGTGCAGCATGGCGGGTTGCTGCCGTTTCAATACTCCGCAAGGCGCTGGCGCGCGGGCGGCGCGGCCGCTGCCGGGGGCCAGCCTCTATGGGCGGCAGACAGGCATCAATAAGTCAGACCGTGGCCGAAAGCAAATGCGCGTGGCAGGGCCAGGGCAGATGACAGGGTGACGAGGCGGAAGGGCCGCCACACGCCACCCTGCGTCCCCTGGACTGAGGGGCGCCCCCCGGGGCGGGCCTCGCCCGCGGGGCCCCTTGCCCTGCACCGCGACGCACCGGCGTGTGCCGCTGCAAAACGTAGCGGGCGCCAGCCGAAGCAAACGCGCGGCCGCCACCGGCCGGTGGCGCGCCGGCGGGGCTCAGCAGAGGGAGGAGCGCATGGGGTGGGTACAAACGCCTCGTGCTCAGTCAAATCAACGCATTGTATTGTTGTACAAAACCCCCGAGGCTCTTTTGACTCTCCACATCTTGGGTCTCAAGACCCCAGATCTTCTCAGAAATGACTCAGATCTTCTCAGGTGCTCAAACCATGTGCCTCTACCGCGCCTGTACGACAGCGGCGCGCCGTGTACAATGCAAATCAGGCGTTGCTGGGCACGGTGAGTTGTGGGGTGCAGCGCGCCGAGGCGTGACTAGGCTTAGGGGCCAGCTGATCCCCCCATGATGCAATGGCATGCAACCCAATCAAGAGTTTTAAGTGCACTTGTGTGTGTGGTACGCTCGCGCACTTGTGCTCGGCAGCCTGCCGCAATTGCGGCCGACCGACCGCCCGCCCGCCGCCGCTCGCGTGCCGCCCCGCCCATCGCGGGACAAGGAGCGAGCTGACCGCCCACCCTCCGCCCTCTGCCCTTCAACCTGTAACCTCTGCCCTCCACCCTCCTGCCCCTCAAGCCGCCCTCACGCGCCGTCACTGCTCGAAAGGCTCCCCTTGCTGCCGTTGCGCAGCGGCGCGCCCGCGTCCGTCGCCACGCGGCGCGCATACGCGTGGTTGCCGTTGCCGTTGCCGCTAACGCCGGCGACGACGACGCTGCGCTCCTCAGTATCCGAATCCGAGGAGTCAGAATCGGAGTCCAATGATGACGTCACAAACTCCGGCTGCAGCGGCGTCATCACCACCGCCGAGCCGTCGCCGCCGCCGCCGCCGTCCGCGCCGCCGCCGCTCGTGCCGGCGCTGCTCGTGCCGGCGCTAGCTCCAGCAGCAGCGCCGACGCCCGCTGACTCGCCCTGCGCGTCGTGGACGCTGTCCGTCACGCTGAGGAGCGGATTGTTCGGGTCCCTCCTGGCCGCACCGGCCGCGGTCGTGCCGCCGGCGACGACAAGCGGGTCCAGTATGAAGAGCTCCACTTTCTCCCGCCGCGGGCTCAGCCCGCGCCCGCCCACGCCGCGCCCCAGCGCCGCCGTCAGCCCGCGGCCGGCCAGCGCGCCGACGCCGCCGCGGCCGGGGGAGAGGAGGCCGCCGTCGGCGGCGCCGCCGCCTGGGGCGTCGGCGTCGGAGTCCGCGGCGCCGCGCGCCTCGAGGCGCTTCTGGAGGGCCTCGGTGCGCACCTCCAGCGACTGCTGTATGCCGCGCCTGGCAGATTTCGAAAGTGGACGCCAGTGCGGGCGTGGGCAAGGATTTGAATGAGGAGGACTGATTGTCGGTGGATGGGGGCGCGAAGCCAACCTTGGACACTGGACCACAACTCTGGAGGCTGCTTGGGTGTGATATGCACCATGCACCGATGAGGCCGCTGTGCAGTGGGGCCGCAAGGCCCAAGAGCGTATTGCATGCGTGTACAAACGCATACGCACACACACACACACACACACACACACACACATGCACGCACGCACGCACACATACGCACACACACGCACACACATGTGCACACACAAGTGTGAGTGTGAATTTGAACACACATACACACACACACACACACACACACACACACACAGCGCACCACCCGCGCACCTCAGCGTCTCCGCGTCGCCGGCCGAGGAGCCGACCAGATCCGACAGCAGGCGCGTCCCGAGGTTGAGGCCCGCCTCGCTGCCCGTGATGGTGACACTGTCGGCGCCCGCCATCTTTAGGGTGGCCGCCTCCCTGCGGTGCGGCGGGTGGGTCCCGAGCCGGCGGTCAAGGAGGGGTTTAAGCTGGGGTATAATGACACAAAGAAGGGTCAGGCGGGAGTGGGGGAGCTCTGGCGGGGTCGGGGAGGTGTGGGTGGTGGGGGCCAGGGTGCAGGCACGGCCAGGGCGCGAGGCAGGAGGCAAACATGAGGTGGTTCGATTGGTGGCGGTGAGTCAAGGGGAAGCAAGCCCATGCGGGCCTGACACACGCCCGCACCGTCCCCGCAGTACCTCATCGTGGATTGCACGTCCCATCCAGCTGCTCCTCCCCCCCCAAAAAACCTTGATGATGCGCATGTGCGAGCTCACCTGCCGCCCAGGCACCCTGACCCCTACCCACATGACCCTCAAACCTCCTCCCCCTGCCCACACGCCTCCACACACACACACACACACACACACACACACACACACACACACACACACACACACACACACACACACACACACACCTGCACCCGGATGGTCGCGCCGCTGTCCTGCATAAAGTTTCGGACGGTCTGCCCCCGCTGACCGATCACCGCGCCGCACAGCCGCCGCGAAACCGCCAGCTTCACCTGCGCGGGTGTGCAGTGGTTCCCGCCAGATCTCCGTCGGATTGCACCGAGATCAGATTGCATTGGATCTCGTAAAATCATCTCAGATCGAGACGCGGCACAACGGATCAGGTGCCGAGCGGCGAGCCGCCGCGGCGGGATTGGGCCGACAGCGCTGGGGCACGGCGGCGTTTTGCCGAGGGCGCCGCCGCCCCCGGCAGGGCGCAAAAGAAAAAGCAGGTGCCGGCGCGGCGCCGGCGGCGGCGCGGCTTGACGTGGGCGTGGAGCGCACGCGGCGCCGCCCCTCCGCCGTCCCACCCCCTGCCCGCCGTCCCAAGCACACCTGCCCCCCCCCCTTCCAAATGAGACCTCAGAGCTTCCTAAAAACCTCAACCCTCAAGCCCTAAACCCTGAGTCTTTTATATATATTCCACCACGCTGGATGGCCTGCGCAGCCCTGTTCGCCACAGTGCACATCCCCCCCCCCCACACACACAGGGCCCCCGCGCCTGGTCCTCGCCGTTGTGGCCGCCGCCCCTTGCTACAGGGCTGGACGGCTCCCGTGGCAGCCGCTCCAGCAGGAGAAACACAGCTGTCAAAACAGAGTGCAGGGAGCCGGCCAGCAGCAGAACGCGCTCAGACGTGCCTGCGCAGGGACGCGCCGCAGGAGGGGGCTTGAGGGTTGTAGGGTTTAAAATTCAGGGTCCAGGGATCAGGGGTTGAGGCGTGCAGGGCGCTGGCTTTGAGGGGTCAACATTTTGGGGGCACTTTGAGAGAAGGCGGTCAGGACAGGGTAGTGCAGGGAGCCGGCCAGCAGCAGAACACGCTCAGACGTGCCTGGTGGTGATTTGTTTTTTGGGGGGCGTTGGGG